CGGTCAGGCTCCAGGGAGGGTGGCGGCGGGGCTTCTCTCAGGGTGGCCCAAGGGTGGATCTGGCGTGTGAGCTCGGCAGGGTTCGGCGGGCGAGCGGGTGCGGCTCCGGTGATGGCTGACGCGGATCCAGTGGTCCGGGAGTAGGGGAGGCACGGCGATGGCCTCATGGCGACCAGATGCGGCGCAGACGGCGGGGGGTTCCAGCGCGGGCGACCGCGTTTTGGCGGATCGAGGGCTCGGCGAGGCTGGGCCCGGTGGTGGCGGCATGGGCAGCTCAGCGGCTCAGCGGACGGTGCATTGCGCGTGCCTCGGCGCGCCTTGTCCCCCGCTCGGGTTGGTGGTGGTCCAGGCTGCGGGTCCCACGAAGGCGGCTGCTCCTCCGGTGGCGCGACGGCTGGGCGGCGTGGCGAGTAGGCGCGACAACGGCGGCGGCCTCGCGACGTCCAGCGGTGGGTCGAGGCTAGGTGGCTGCGACCGCTCTATCTCGCTCGTGCGGCTCCGGCTTCCGGCGGTTCAGATCTGGTGCGGCTCGACTGTAGCCTTCCGACGGGAGCTTTGGCTGTCCTCCGGCCCTCCGAGGCAAGGCTTGGGGCGAGGTCGCAGTCTGGCCAGGCCCTCCCTTGCCTCCAGATTTGCGATGTGGGCTCCATGCCGTCAGGCCTGGCCGGGCTCCTGCAGACGGTGATGACGATGACGTGGCGGCTCTTGGGCTTCGGGGCGGCGGCCCCGGTATGGTGGTGGTGGCTTCGGCCAGGAGGTGGTGCGAATCTGGTCGCGGTGGATCGTGGGATCTCGTGGCCAGAGTGAGGTCGGCCTTGGTAGGGGTGGTGGTCAGTGGGCGGCGGTCGGTGGTGGCAGGTGGTCGGCACATCTCCGGGAGAAATCCTTGCTCCGGTCTTCACCGGAGCCGGCGACGGCGATGCCCACGGGTGTCATGATCTTTCTTGGAAGCGTCGCCGTGGAGTTGCTCTTTCTCCCCACGGCTTGGGCATCGAAGGGAAACCTCAGATCCGTTGGATCGGGCGATGGAGGCGTCTTCGCGTCTTTCTCCTCCTTGGGGGCATCTTCTCGGAGCCGGCTACGACTGGGAGAATGGAGGATGATGGCATCTTCGCCGTCGATGGCGGCATCTTGGCCGCGTGGTTTGCTGAGGCGAGGCGTTGGTTTCTGTTTGGCAACGATGATGGCATCGAGAGGATGTTGGGTCGCGGCATGGTCTTCGGTAGTCGGTTCTTCCCGGGTGCTCTTTTCAGCACGATCGGCGCAAATCCTGCATATTTCCCCTGTGTTGCTCGTCGTCAAAGTCAGAGCTGTAGGTTGCTTGCGCGTGTGGCCATCCGTTGGCATGTGCCGTCGTGGCTTCTGTTCCATGTCGGTGGCCAGGTTGGCTGGTAATGCCCATGTCATGTGGGTTGTATTGTATCGGTTTTAGCCCGATTTTCCGTCAATTAACCGGACAATTCTCTTCTTCTTAATCAATGAGAATGGCAAGTCTTTTGCCTCGTTTCAAAAAAAAAATGAATTAGCAACTCGTTACCGCACCTGCAAAGTTTAGCCCGACGCAGCCTCGGCTTGGTACCACCACCATCTGATAAATAACCACATGTTGCCCTTGCTACTCATAGAGTTCACAGAATTTAAAGAACTGCAAAGTTAAGATGGACGACTTCCACCAATATCCTGGTGCTCTGCTCGGGAGGAGTTTGGCATACTTCCATGGGGTTTGTGGAACATAAACGCCCCTCTCAAGTTCCGTACAGGCAAGCCTAGCATCTTTCGTTCTTCCCTATTTTGATGCTAGGATAAGTTGCAACCAGATATTTTCATTTTCTGTGCCCACACTTAAGCTAAACGTGCTCCCCACATCTTCAGCTAGGACCATCCACTCCATTTCTAGCGACAACACTGAATCAACATTCACTCCCGCTCTAGCACAAAACACTGAAACAACTTTCACAAACATACAGTAAACATCCAGTCCCAAAATAAGTGTCTTGTACTATTAAACTTGAGACGCTTGCAATAGATCGTACGTGCTCCCTCCACTTTTATCCAGGCTTGGGACCGGCATTGGCAGTGTTACGCACCCTCACCCACCCCATACATACGCTTCACACATAAATAGGCAACAAATCTTAAGAGACCAAGACGAAACATGTCCACAGGGCAAACACTACAAACTGTAGATGGAGATGCAAACAACATCACATCAAAATGAGAAGCAACAACTAATGAAGGACCTGACACGGTAGGTAATTTTGCACATAACACACAAAAAGCACATAATGCAATGAATACACATCACATAATTAGCTGTTCCTTGTCAAAACAAATCATGAAAATAGAAGCTACCATGAAGCAAAACTAAACTAAATCAAGAAGCATAGCACATAAATAGCAAATTCTCATGCACTCAAGCTAATAAATACACCCCAAGTCCCAGGCCCCAGTTAAAATCATCACTTTGAACTTGTCAAATAGCAATTATCATGCATAAGAAAGTTGGGGTCATATTAATTAGCACAACTAGTTCACTAAGGCCAATATAAGGTCAGCATACACAAATTAACACCATGCATCATGACTACACACAATCACACTAGAAATTTCAAGCATAAAAGAAGACAGCCATGCTCACATCAACAATGGATAAGAAGTTGCTATGAACATAGAATTAATATGTTGTTCCGAGAAAAAATCCAGGAAGAAACTTAAATGTAAGAACTTTGCATTTCAGATGTATAATGGTGCTAAAATAGTTTTGCACAAAATCAGACAGAAATGTGGGCAGAACTAAATATATATGGGGTACAGATAACCAGAATTCAAGATGTCTTAATTATACTGATGCTGATCTGCAGTGCAAGATGAGAGATTCTCATGAGCAAAACCAAGTAAAACTAGTAAAATTAATAGCTTAGTAACCTTGACTACAAAAAGAAAGAGAATCAACCCCATAAACTATTACTTAAGTCGCACAGATACATTTGGACTCATGACAAATGCATAACTAGATACATACCGCTACCTCGAAAGAAAAACTAGATACATACCACAACTCTTGACAGAACATCACACTAAAAACTCATATGAAGCAATCAAGTTTTCTCAACTATTTAAGAACATATCCAAGTATTAGAGTCATACCCAAAAAACAAAGCAAAACAAAACAGCATATACCATTTTCAATTATCTTAAATGAGAAGACCTCTTTTGAGGAACCATTTTACTATGGCACCCAAGATAAAGGATAAACACAAATTAATAACATATCCCAAGCAAGAAAGATAACAGCTACTTCAGGAAACAAAGATAAGGTTTTTCTTTTAAGGCATAAGCACTCGCAACTTTTCCTATTAATTGAACAATCAATTATTCTTATTCAACAGCCTCAATTATATAGAAACAAACTGCCACAATTATAAGGGACAAAAGTCAGCAAGCTTAGGAGGAGATATACTCTGACAGGTCATTACACACACACTAAACACACATGATTTTAAGGGACAAAATTCAGCAAACATACGAGAAATACTCTGACAGGTCATGTAAGATGGGATTGACGAGACGACACAAAGATGCACCATGAAGGGTTACCCTAAAAACAAGAGATAGCGCTAACCATCTTTTAAGAGGCAAGATCCAATCAGTCAGATACAAAAGGTAGTTCTGCACAATAACCTATGCACATAAATGGCAAACATGGATGCTAGAGATAACTTACATTCAGATTTTATCTGGATTCATGACGAATGCGTAACTAGGCATGTAAAGTTTGAACAAACAAGAATGAAATAAGTAATTTGAAAGCTGCGTAGCACCACATAACAGTGCCAAAAAGGTCAAAATGTTTTCTGCCACCAATTTATTATCTAAAACGAAAAAAAAAGTAGAAATGAAATAAATTAGACGACATGCACACCTGCTATTTGAATTCATGACAAACATGTAACTAGATACATTATGATGTTTCACAACAAACAAGTACGAAACAAGGAATCCCAACGCTGTCCCGTAACAAATAACTGTGACAAAAGGGTCAAAATGCCTCCCACTACCAATTTTTAATCAAAAGCTGAAAACAAATCAGATGAAATAAATAATTAGACTCTACATACACACTTGCTACATAATAGAACCATATCATAAGTTATAAACAGGAAGTCAATATTCAATTATTCAGATTCATCTATTAAATTACCTTTTCAATTATATGCTGGAGACAAGCTACCGAGCGAAGTTATAATCAATTAGAGTTGAGATCAAATTTCGCACGAGCAGTGCTATACAGTCGATGGTTTTCAGACGATACTCAGCTGATGTGTCCCATCAGGGCGTTTGTAAATTTAATGCTACGCAATCTGACGGTGCATAGTTTGTGTAGGCTGCACATCGGGCATTGCATGTCGTGTGCACATCAAATTTGTTTCACACAATTTGAGTAAGTTGGTTAAGAATTTATAATATATATAAACCTAGAGTCACATAAAGATATTCTGTAGCAAAACCGGCAGTGAAACAGTTGGAAGAAAAAACATCAAGGAACCCATCAAGGAAAAGAAAAGAACATGCAAATTAAAACATGAGGTAGAAACTTTAGGCGGGCTCCAACATATACTACATTAAGTCACAGTATAAAAATACATATATACTTAAGTCAAAATATCTTAAGGGTTAATTATAGAACTTGCTCTTGAATTTAGTTAAATGAATATATAATATATTATATTGTCATTCAAAATGCAGCCGGAAATGAGTACACGCCATCTGAAAAAAACCTTGCTACGAGTCAATTTTGGCACACATTTTTCAGCATAAAGATGACAGGTAGAATTAGGAGAAAAAAGAACACTGAAAAGCACAGAACAAAATAGCGAACTAAACTATACAAACTCATACATCTAGGTAAATATGTCTGAACTTTACATCAATAAAACATGCAAACATAAGATAAACAGAGTACACACTAGCCTTCTCCACGCTTGGGCGATGAATAAGTATGAGTTCATTAATAAGGATATATCTTAAAGCGGTGCAACATTGATTGGAAACAAAGCTAAAACTCAGACCGAAACAGAAAAACAAGTAGGGGCATACCAAGATTGACCAAACATTTATTTTTAACAAAGCTTGTAATAAAATTTCCAAGCAGAACAGGAAGGCAAGAAAATTCAGAGGGAAATTTTTAGACATACATGTAGTACAAGGATAGCATTAAGTTCCAAATAGAACGAGCTTATAGGAAACTAGGAACACATCCGAAGCTACCGACTTATACATGACCACCAAGGTTGAGAATTAAAAATAAGCTTATGTAGAAGTTCTAACACAGATATAATGTATTTCAAGGTAACTAAACAATACCATCACTCGGCTCGTAACATCACTTTAACCTTGACATTAACCATAAAATAATTGGTGTGAACAGTGGACAGAAGCAGGAGTCTTGCATAAATAATTTCATCAGATAGAACCATGGTTCTATGCCAAGCAAAAGGAAATGATTGTGGGAATTGGAACATTGAAACAACGCATACATTATTGACATTATTCGGGAAGACGTGTCAAAACTAGACTATGCAGACTGTACCCGAGAATTTTAAGAGTGGTTAAACAAGCTAGACAAATAAAGTACATTAGGTTAAGACTAATCTAACTGGTCAAGAGGATATGACTCGGTTAGTTTATAAATTGATGAGAACTAGTATACAAACAGAAGCAAGCACAACAAATAAAGTACATCAGGTTAAGACTAATCTAACTGGTCAAGAGGATATGACCCGGTTAGTTTATAAATTGATGAGAACTAGTATACAAACAGAAGCAAGCACAACAAATAAAGTACATCAGGTTAAGACTAATCTAACTGGTCAAGAGGATATGACTCGGTTAGTTTATAAATTGATGAGAACTAGTATACAAACAGAAGCCCGCATCCATATACTTATGCAACAACTACAGGCCTCCCTTCACCTTTCTAATTGTGACCTTCTATCGAAGAGATAAAAATGACAGCACAACATATCAGGGACAAATAAAATTTTCAAGTAAGCTCAAAACAGATTAAAATGTTATAATTATAGTGCATACCATGCTTATCATCTCAACCAAATAAGTGGGAAAGTAGAACCAAAGCAAAAACAGTATGTGTCATGCTTATAACATCAACCAATTAAGGGGGGAAAGTTAAGGTAGAACGTAACTTAAGACTGTTCTTGATAGTTATTATCTAAGCTCTAAAAACATTGGTAGACCTAAGCACATGAACTAAAATCTTACTTCACTGACAGGTTAGAAATAAATTGTAAACAACATCAGCTTAGAACAAATATGAAATCATAATTCACACTTATCACACAATATTTTGCCTTTGAATACTAAAGCGTTACAAATCAAATAATTCACAG